AAATCCTGGCTACGTCCCTGTCCGCCTCTGTGTATGTTCAAAAGTAATTAAGTAAAAAAAAAGTGGTCCGGCCATAGTCGATGTGGCCGGTGTGTTTCCGACGGCCCTGCTGCCAAAAAACAATAATTGATACAATTATTATAAGTACCAGTATATAGATACAAGCCTGGTTCTCACGAGAGCCCGTATCCGGATCGGGAGCTAACCGTTAGCACCTGCGTGAGAACGCCCGATCGGTTAGCGCTAACCGTTAGCACTATCCGGATACCGCTAACGGTTAGCAAGCGCTACCGGTTACCAAGTTGAGCGCGTTTCTATCATCAACCAATCACACGTACGCGTTTACAATGTCCAGTTTCTTATTGGCCAGTGATTCGATCATCATATTTTTGGTATCCAGATCGGGATTTTCTCGTATGGACGCACGGCGCATTAGCAGCGTTGTGAGAACATAGCCATATTTTAATGATTAATAGAATTGAGAATCACAGACGGTGCAATTCCGACGGCCGACTTATTTAATATTCTGAAAATGTTGTGACCCTTTTTGGCCAACGTTTTCTGGGCGGTTTAGCCATTTCATAATGTCTGGCGTCTGCAAAATCTTGCGGCGCGTCTTATTTATCAAGCCTACGTCTCCTTCTCTAACACGTGAGTTGCATTGGTTGCCTGTCCAGTAGAGAATCAGAGTTTAAGATCTTAGTGCATGTGTACAACTACTTTCATGGTTTAAATGCAAAAGGTAAAGGTAGGACAATAACCCATAACATGCAGTGTCATTGTGCTGACTTGCGTATGGGCGTGGTCCGTGACTACCTCAGCCGCCGTAAGGGAGGCGCTTCTAGTACGGTACCGTACATCACATAATTCCACGAGAGTGGTTGAAATTATCGGGGTAACCACCAACAATTCGGAAAGGTGCAATGGATTCGTTAAAGTGCACACGAGCCAGATGTGTACACTGGACTTCCGTTTTAAGTCCTTATCTGAGAAGACTTGGTTCTACCACCTGAACCCTGGGCGAGGAGCGGCTCGAACCACCGATGTTAAGGCTGGAGTCAGCGGCGCCCCGGCCTGCCTTACCCCTCGGCCACTCGACTCGCCCGGTTACCTGCAAGATCTAGTTAAAAAAATATGACTCTGGTCGCCATCCGCTGAGATCATCTCAAGACTCATCTCTCCACCCCGTAACAAATTCGTTTGGAGATAGGTAATGAATCCTAAATTATGGAACCGCCTGCCAGCCAATGTGCGTTAAGCCTCTAGCGTGAAATGGTTTTAAAATATTCTTAAAACGTGTCTCCAAAGAAGTAAGATCTATTTAAAAATATTTTATGCTTCGTTCCACAGTACAAAATACTATAACACTAAAAGCCTGATTTTTCACAAGACACAAAAAGCATATTTGACGAAGCACTCGGGAACGGTTAATGGAATACAGAATTTTTGAATATTTAAAAACTGGTGGAAAAGGGTATCGCATGCAAAGGATGTTTAAGCCAGTAGTACAACATATCAAAATACTTTTCTTCCTGAGCCTGACTTTAAAGGGTCCCTGTAAATGAAATGAATTGTTTTTTTATATGTTTCAGTGGAAGTTAGTGACATATTTAAAGAATAATTCTTCTTTTTTTTTTATTGATTTGTTATAGCTTTTCCTCATATTATGGCAGCAAGACTGATTTCATCACATTTTCTTCCAAAACTCGCCCATTACTACCAGATCCTGTTAACATCACCGTGGGACAGGTTTCTGTTTGATCCTCACAGACGGTAAGAAATCTGGGTGTACAAGGACTGTCATGACAATGGA